AAGATGTCCGTCTGTCCTGTAATAATGCTCTTTCTGGCTGCACATCAACTACATGGAGCTATAGCAGACATTCAGAGACAGTTGAACTGATTGCTGGAGGGATAAAGAAGAATGAAATCGAGAGACATGAGAGACTGCGTCTGGGCTCTGACTGCTCTCTGAACATCAAGAACGTCACAAAAGAAGATTATGGATTTTACTCCTGCCGACAATATGTGAATAAAGAACAACAACAAGGAACTGATGTATATGTTTATCTGCATGTTCTTCATGGTCAGTGTTTCTGTGAATTATTGTGGAATTATATATGATTATATGTTGAATTAAACGTAATTAAACAGTAATGTTCGTGTCCCTGAAAAGACTGAAATGTCGTGTAATCTGTGTCTGATTTTCTGTTTCAGTCTCTTCATCATCCTCACAGTCTGAGATCAGATCAGGCAGCTCTGTGACTCTCTCATGTCAGTTATATTATCATCGAGTCACGTGTGATTCTTTAGTTCGTTCTGAGGGACTTCAGCTGATCTGGGTGAATCAGGCTGGTGTGGATCTGCAGACAGACTCCAGATTTCAGATATCCTTCTCCTCAGGACAGTGTATCAGCTCTCTGACTACAACACTCCTGAATGAAGACCACAGCAGAGCGTGGAGATGTCAGCTTAAACACAGAAATCAGCTGAAGACCTCAGCCACATATACTGTCAAGTATCCAAGTAAATGATTTATATGAACAATTAATCATCAGTAATTTAAATATGATCGTAGTCTATGACGTATCTGAACCTTCATCTTTTACAGCTCCAGCCGAAACAAAGACACCGTCTCCAGTCACCAGCTCTGAATCCTCTGCAGCTCCAGCACAACCAGGTACATAATCAGCTGTTAAGATGAATGTTTGCTGTTACCTGAAGACCTCAGTCAGATACACTGACATGTTTTCAGATAAGAAACTACATTTATTTAATCAATTTCAGAAGAATCTCTGAGAGACATGACATGCCGAATAATAATGTCATTGATTCACGACCAACTGAAGGTTTATAGGCTGCAGATCACTGTGTTTTACTCACATATAATATAACGTTTTATAATGTTGATAAATGAACACAAACTGTATATCATGTGAAATTTGATTAAGTATGACGATATGATATTAGTTCAACCAGTGTTAATTTCGTTGACGAATAACTACAACGTTGACGACATTTTTTTCACCGACGACAACGAGACGATAATGAACTAAAACTATTTTTGAATGACAAAAGCTATGACGTAAATCTATTGACATTTTCGTCAACGAATAAAAACGAGACAAAAATGTTAGTGAGGGACGATTTGGGATGAGATACATTCAGAACGATTCTGCTGCGTGGTTCGGAGGTTATGCGTACACATGAGCCGGCGGGACATTAGCTAACATACACTTGCTGCACGTCGCATAAAACATTCAAAAAATGTCAATATGTGGGAGTAAGAGAAGAGCAGACATATGCATAAATCTGACGACGCAAGAGAGAACTCAATTCGGTCAGGTTTTCTGAGCAACAACAGAAAGACAGAAAATCACGCACTGTTCTTGACTGAAAAACTTTAGTAGCCTTAAAGATTAATCTAAATGTATTTACAGAAATAAATATGTCTGCTTGAAAGAATATAGAATATGGTAAAGAAATAAGTTGCTATAAAGAATGCACAATTAGCCTATATAGCCACTGGTATTTCATTAAAAAGTAGACGTTCTGTTCTTGTTCTTTGTGAGAAGTGGTTTTATTTAATTTTAACATGAAGACATTTTGTGTGTCACAACAGTTAAATCAGCGTTTATCATGATAAAACCTTAATATCAAACCTATATAATGAGTTTGGAAATTTTTGAGAAATGCTTAATAAACGCATTACACTGTAACTAAACCCATTCGATTTTTAAATTTACTGTCGATTTAGTCGACTAAAATCTTATGATATTTAGTCGACTAAAACTAAAAACAATTCAGATGACTAAAATAGGACTAAAACTAAATGGCATTTTAGTCAAAAGACTATGACTAAAACTACATCAGAATTTGCTGTCAAAATTAACACTGTGTTCAACAATATGATGCATCTGAACATTCATCTTCTGCAGGTCTAATGGGTTCACCACTGATTCCAGTCAGCAGCTCAAACTCTGAGAAGAAATCAAGCCAAACTACATCAGCAGCTCCTACAAAACAAGGTACATGATCACTGACATACATCTTCAGTCAATGAACAATGAAGTCAAACAGGGCTGAGATGTATTTTATAAAATATTATGCATAAGAACTAAAATCCTCCACCTTCTACAGAGAAACAGACTACCCTAACCCCTGAGACAACTTCAGCTACACAGCAAAGTATTTATAAATGTCTTACTCATTCCAGTGCTTTAATGTGACACAGTAGAACTGGTATTCACATATCTGATTTTTTTGTAGACTTTAAGAAAAGCTTATCACTGGTCTTGTTTAATTTGTAAACCTCAAACACTTGTCAATGTGAAAGCTATTTCACTCTTTCATCACATACATGAATGGGACTTTAGTTCTTTTAGTTTCAGGATGTATCTATTAAAATCATAGTGAGCACTTATTAATAATCTTTCTATGTTACATAGCACCTCAACAGAGAGATACACTGATATGGAGCTGCTGCAAACTAGCAGTTGAAATAAATCAAATTCAGTACTGCAAAAGCAATGTGTGTAAAGTTTATTTTGTGTTCATGCATTAAAATATAATTTTTTAATATTGTAGGAAACCTTTTCCTCTTCGAAGCAGAGACCAAGAGACGTTGAGATATCTTTCATACAGAAGTTACTCTTTATTGAGGACTCGCTGTGCGTCGTTGCAGTCATCCAAGTCTGACTATTGCTCAGCACAGTAGAGTTTATACCTTTCAAGGGGGAGGGATACATAGAGGTGGAGACAATCTAAACAAAGCATGCAAATGCAGTTCAGGAATCAGCCCGTTACCGGAATTTCTCCAGCCCTGATCTCATCAGCGTAACAGTGTCATTCAAATGCATAGGTGCTAATCCAATCAGCCTGACAGTATCGCCCTTACCTTCACATTATCATAGAGACAAAGGCACAGCTGTGCCTTGAGCTTAGCATTCACCTTTAACTTGGGACCCTGCCCAATGGTCAAGAAGTGCATAAAGACAAAAGATTAATGTCTCAGACACCTGGGCTGCCTGACTTGATCTTCTTAGAATGTCATCATCTTTGCCTCAAAATGTAAAACACAATGTACCTAACTTTTTGCAGTTTATATACTATTACATTGGAACCTAGATATAACATTTTATAAATTTGTAATCCAACAATACGGTGAATCTGAACTAAAAGTCCTTCCTCTATAAAATCAGCAAAAGCACTGATGCCAGTTACTGTATGTTTGCGAGTGATTTCAGTGGTTTTATTCACATTCTGGGGTTCTTCTAGAATCAGTCTCTAAATATACAACTGCTTTCTCTGTGGAGATTTTAGAACAGCTGATCACAACTCTGACTTCATGTCATGTCTCTACGGTACATCACCACCAATCCACCAATCCATAATTCTTTAATCGTGTCAATGAGATGTCAAGTCTCCAAACAATCCAAAACAATCATGTTACTTATTATTTTATTTTTCTGTCAGTAGTAGTTGTTTTTATATCTTTGATTTCAAAGACAGTAATACACAGTAGATGCTCTGCTGTTGTTTTCATCTGAATCTGAATGTGTCTCTCTATATAGTCTCTCCCGAAGTGATCGGGATTGTTGTTGCTGCTGCATTGGCTGTTCTGATCACTGCTGTTATTCTTTGGGTGGTTTGTAAAAAAAGAGCTGGTAAGTATTTGGAGTTTACAGGCATTACAACAGACAAGCATTTGAAAATATCTGACTTCAAGTATTTAGAGATAGGCACATCTGTTTCAGCTTCATCACAGAAATTTGCTAAGATGCGATGTTAAATATGTGGTGTGATCAAATGTTTGGCTTGATTGAACAGTAATCTACAAACTAACAAGAAAATGTTTTATCTGCATTAGAATTCTTCTAGACTTTTATAATTCATCGTTTGCATTCTTTTTGTTGGTGAGTTATCATAAATATTCCCATTATTTTTCAGATAACAGAAAAGGGACTAATGACTCTGTGGTAAGTATCATAAAGCCAATGACCCATGGTTGATACATTAGCTAGCTATTATTTTGTCTATAATCACTGCTCCAGGGCAGACTGTCTCAGTTATATGTGTCAGGTTAGATAAATGCATCAGCTGAATGAAAAGTTTGTATATTTACAAACGTATTATTATAGTTTATTTTTAAATGTCACAGATAACAATAAATTTAATGGAACCGACTGATGCAATCATAACTTCACCATGTTTCCATTCATGTTTAGGAGCAGAAAGGGGATGTGATTTATACTGAGGTTGCCACACACTGTAAAGTCCGAGCCAAAAAGAGCAAGGTGAGTAAAACACTTCCCTGTTCTTCTGCCGATGCCCACTATTGCCATCCACTTTCTCTTAACAGTTTGTACACCTAAATGAGTTTTATTCTTAGGCTCTAACAGCATGCTGTAATATTTGTGGGTTAACACTTGCATCTTGTTTGACAATATTTGTGATGTTCATGCAGGTTCATGATGATGATAAAGTGACTTATTCTTCCATCAGAGGAGCAACAGCTGGACCTCAGGATGACTGCAGTCAACTTTACGCCTCTGTGAACAAGAACCATCACAAATAAGTCAAACAGTCAATAATTATACGATTAGAGTATCATGTGTAGAGGAATGTAAACCTTATATAATTGGCTATATAGATTTCCATTGAGTGCCATTGTAAGTAATGTCTTAAATATATTAAAGGCATAATTCACCCAAACATTACAATTCTGTCATCATTTACTCACCATCATGTGGTTCCAAACTCATAAGACTTTGGGTTTGCATCCACAAAACCCATTGCCTAGCTGCCTAGACTTCCAATAGATGGACAAAAGTGATGAGATAATATCTTCAAAATAAATAAATAAATAAAACACCTAATTTGTCTTCTGATGATGAATAAACGTTATACCAAATTCCCTTTAAAGATTTTCTTAATTAGCACAAACTGACAGTTAATTAGTCAAACAAGGTAGGCTTGCACAGAACCACACTTTACATCAGGTTCATCATTCCTGGTCCGGCAGACACTTTACTGTAGAGTTTAGTTTCAACTCTAATAAACAAACCTGAATCAACCTTTTAGCTTTGTTGGGTCTAAGTTGAACTAAACATTTGGTACATTGCACCATTGTAACGACAGTCATTCGTAAATGGTTTGTAGCAACTACAGCAAAAAAGGCACAGTATATTATAAAAGGAAAATCACTTAAAGAAAGAAGAGGAGTTAACGCTTTAGATTACAGCCCGCAATGTACCGCGTAATTAAACAGAATTTACAGCGTACCTATTTGTAACTATAGAGTACCTCCACAGTACCTACTCGTAGGTATAAGGGAACAATATGCATCGTTTGGTGAATAAGGGCGTAATAACCTGCAAAATTATAAAGCATTTACACTGGAAATATTTTAAAACTAAAGGGCACCTATTCTGAAATGATGTGGTATGTATGACACACAGATCGAATTTTTCCGCATAAGCATAACTTACAGCTGTACGTATGTGTAGCTAAACGGAAATAATGTGCAATGTTTGGGTGATAAGGGGGTAATGACTTGGAAAAAATAAAAATAAAATTACAATTCAAAAATTTAAAATTACAGCCCACGGATGTTACACTTACACAGTAACTACATATAACAAGGGTGTATGTTTGCATAGTAGTTAAGAAAAATGTTGTAGTACATTTTATTCTACTTGCCTCGAACCACATACGGAAGCTCAACTGCACCAACAGCACTACAGCTCTCAAAAAACATCAATTATACAGTAAATATACATGTGTTGTGTATTATGATGTTATATTTATATGTAGAGCAGCTGGAAACAGGTAATATAGTTTTCCACTGTATTGCACCTCGACGTTACAATGCTGCTGACAAACTCGCTGCTAAGGTGATCATAGTCAGTGTTCTTTCATCAGGTAAATTGTCATACGGAAATTTCTAAACCAAATCATTGCAGAAACTCCTTACATAATTTCCTCATACTTTATCATCTCCATGATCCCACATAAAGAAGCACTAGTAAATACTATAGCATATATTCTTATGTAAACTGTGGTAAAATTTTATGAAGACTATGGTGGTTTTTAACTTTACTATAATTACTCAATTATAGCCTGCTATAGTATACTACAGTTTACTATTTGTATCAGTCATGTAATATATATGTTGTAATAATAAAATAAGTACCCACATCGTAGTGTAACAATATTGTCACGAATTCGGTCCATGGACTTCCGTTTATTCACCACCAGAGGTCACCCTTTCCATTACACTGACTCTCGCACAACACAAACTGTTGCATAGCACCCCAGACTACATATCCCATCATTCATTGCACGGTTTGCACACTGCACTGATTGCACTCATTGCACACAGCTGTTTCTTATCACCTCACTCACTATATAACACCCACTCAAACTGCCATTCTCTGCTGAGTATTGTTTAGCCCGTACCACATTCTGAGTCTCTGTGTTTTCCTTGTTTTGCCTTGCTTGTTTTCGCGGTTTCTGATCTTTGCCTGTTTTCCTGGATTTCTCCCTCTCGTCTCTCCCCTGTGATTCTGTCTGCCGATCGGTGATCTACGCTAGCCCTGGGACTATTCTTGTGTTTTGCCCGCCATATACCTGTTTGCCATTGTTTGACCCTGCCTGTTTACCACGTCTCTTGAATAAAGCCTGCAGATGGATCCACACGTCTCACGTCTCGTCAGCCCCGTCACAAATATACTGCATCATAAATTTTGTGTTATTACAAAAAGGCAACTTCTAAATCATAATATTGTTGCCTAACACAGTAGGTCATGCATACCACCTAATCTTAGAATAGTTACACCTTACTTATGAAATACTAACAGTATAAATACTTTGAATTTTCCAAGTCATTACCCCCTTATCCCCCAAACATTGCACATTGTTTCCATTTACCTACACGCACGTACAGCTGTAAGTTATGCTTATGCGGAAAATTTCGATCTGTGTGTCATACATACCACATAATTTCAGAATAGGTGCCCTTTAGTTATAAAATACTTCCAGTATAAATGCTTTATAAATTCGCAGGTTATTATCCCCTTATTCCCCAAACGTAGCATATTGTTCCCTTATACCTACGAGTAGGTACTGTGGAGGTACTCTATAGTTACAAATAGGTACGCTGTAAATTCTGTTTAATTACGCGGTACATTGCGGGCTGTAATCTAAAGTGTTACTGAAGAGGAAATGGTATCAGAATGTGTGAGAATTCACAGCCATCAGTCTAAACTGGTATCAGAGATGACCGGACTGTTCACTGTGGGTTGAACAAGTGTGGGAAAATGAACTGAGTTCTCACACTCTGTAGTATCAAGTTTCAAAAACAGCTCACAAAAAAAAAAAAAAAACTAAGGCAACATTTGAAGCTTCTGAATAGACATAACAATATATATATATTTTTTTTTTTTTTGCGTTTGTAGTCATCTTGTGTGTTTTGAGAGCTGGTGGATGCTTGAGTTATTGATGTAGATGCATTGTGTTTACAGCGTGATTGTTTTTAATGGCTACAGTTATACTGTATCAATTTATGTCAGTGCACTTTTGAAAATAGTAGTGTTGTGTTTCAGAGGTCACTTTATAAGTTAGAATCAAAAAACACCTAACTGCTATACAGTATGTTTTATAGAAACTTCTTTTCTTCATCAGTATAGTGTGAGTGAACTGCAGCTAAATGGTCAGTTGGTGAGATCAGAGGATGTTAACACCCACAAGATGAGCTAATGATGTTAGAAGGTTAGAGCTGTAAATATAGAGTGAAAAGAAAGATTGACAGAAACAGAAAATGGCTGATAAGCGTCACATGTGTCTGCTGGGACTGATCATGCTCTGTGCACTTCTCACAGGTAAAGACATCTGTATATGATCTATAAGATAAAATATGTGTGTGATGTGAACAACCATCTATCCAAACAATTTAGTTTAATTACTCTGACATAGTGTCTGGAGTTTGAATGTGCACAGTTTTATTTTGATGAAATTCATTAAGTCATAGGAGTAAATACTGTTGTATTCTTTAATGCATGTTTAGAACTGTGCATATACTACTGTCACACTCAAAAGTCTCTTGCAAAGCTCTATTTATGTTAAATGTATCATGAAGTGAACTCTGCAGTATTCCAGAAATCAGGTTATGTGACATGCCTGGGTTAGATTATTATTATTGTTATTATTATTATTATATGCAAGCAGATAATTCAACGTTTGGCTCCAAAAACTGAATTAACAATCAGAGTATGTATCCATAGCAACCCATTATCTGAACATAACTGGCTCTGGAGCAGTCTGAGTTTACTTTAGATGTATTCAGCACATGCGTCCCGTTAATGAGGGCCCAGGTGATGTGACCGATGTCGCACATTTATATATATATATTTATTTTTTATTTTTTTAAGTGCAATAACAAAGCAATGATTATTTGATTTGACTCTAATAAATTTTATTCTCGTCTCACACAGTATGGATCTGCATTCAAAAATGATTTTTGCAACTGAACATTTTCTGTAATTTTCAGCCCTAACTCTGCTAGACGTGATGACTGTCAGTCCACAAAACCAATGCTGTCGGGTCACATATTTAGTATTTATAAATTATTAGAAAAAAACAAACACTATTTTATATTTCAAATAATTAAAAATCACTTGAAAACCACAAAAATATGATTACTTCATGTTGAATGTCAACTCCGTCACTGGCCCGTCACCAACATCAGACAGAAAACCGTACGGTGTCGGTGATATCTGGCAGTGTTGACAAATTTGGCTTCATGTAGCAGCCGCTTTGTTTTCTCTGTTGACGCTAGATGCTCATAGAACCTGCTTCAGGAGAATAACATTATCTAAACATTTCAAATAAGTTCCTCAGAAACTGGAAGATGGTGTTGACATATCATGGTCGTGACGCTGGAAATATTAACATTAGGACTCCAAATATTCTAAAACTATAAAACTGACCAGAGCTGACCTGTCTGACACTGCTGTACTCTGCAGAGGAGGAATGTGACGAGGGGTCCTTTACACTGACAGCTGCCCCTCATATTCCCTGATGTTTTTACATTTTAATGAATGTCTGACGGTGTTGACAAAAAGTGGGGACACAACTTTGAAACCTTATGAAACACATGTGTCCTCATTTTTCATTGTATCATGTATCATTGTATCATTGTACCATGTATCATTTTTAAACCTACAGTTACAGTAGCTGGATATGTTTTCTCCCATGTCTCAAGAATCAGTGATTTCATAATCAAGTCATTAACCCACATTATTATTATTATTATTATTATATGTAGGTAGCAGTGGAGCAGAAGTGACTCATGTGTTCTGCAGTTCTGGTGAAGATGTCCGTCTGTCCTGTAATAATGCTTGTTCTTGCTGCACATCAACTTCATGGAGCTATAGCAGACATTCAGAGACAGTTGAACTGATTGTTGGAGGGATAAAGAAGAATGAAATCGAGAGATCTGAGAGACTGAGTCAGGACTCTGACTGCTCTCTGAACATCAAGAACGTCACAAAAGAAGATTATGGACTTTACTTCTGCCGACAATATGCGTATGAACAACATCACAGAAATTATGCACATGTTTATCTGCATGTTCTTCATGGTCAGTGTTTCTGTGAATATTATGATTATATGTTGAATTAAACGTAATTAAAAGTAATGTTTGTGTCCCTGAAAAGACTGAAATGTCGTGTAATCTGTGTCTGATTTTCTGTTTCAGTCTCTTCATCATCCTCACAGTCTGAGATCAGATCAGGCAGCTCTGTGACTCTCTCATGTCAGTTATATTATCATCGAGTCACGTGTGATTCTTTAGTTCGTTCTGAGGGACTTCAGCTGATCTGGGTGAATCAGGCTGGTGTGGATCTGCAGACAGACTCCAGATTTCAGATATCCTTCTCCTCAGGACAGTGTATCAGCTCTCTGACTACAACACTCCTGAATGAAGACCACAGCAGAGCGTGGAGATGTCAGCTTAAACACAGAAATCAGCTGAAGACCTCAGCCACATATACTGTCAAGTATCCAAGTAAATGATTTATATGAACAATTAATCATCAGTAATTTAAATATGATCGTAGTCTATGACGTATCTGAACCTTCATCTTTTACAGCTCCAGCCGAAACAAAGACACCGTCTCCAGTCACCAGCTCTGAATCCACTGCAGCTCCAGCACAACCAGGTACATAATCAGCTGTTAAGATGAATGTTTGCTGTTACCTGAAGACCTCAGTCAGATACACTGACATGTTTTCAGATAAGAAACTACATTTATTTAACCCCTTAACTGTCACACGTTTACTTCAGTATATTAGGATTAAATCCTAATCTAATCATGACAAACTATATATTGCTGGAAAGATCTAAGACTCCTAAATATATATATATTACCACTATTTGTTGTTAAAAATGATGTAGAAACAGTAATAGATTACATTATGACAAGAGTGCACCTCAAAACATACACATCATAACAGGAGTTCTGTCACAAAAAATATTTTTCGTTTCCTTTTACATGTTTTAGTAATCATCATAAATTATATATCATTTGAAAGCTTAAAACCTCAAAATTCATCCTGCGAAAACTATTTTCAAATCGGAAATTGCATTACTATGGAAATGGTACTTTAAAATATTTTAGCAGGCTCCTCCCCTTAGTGGGGGTGTCATATTACAAAATGTATTACGGTCTTTTCGAATCCAAACTTTTTATAATCTTGACAAAATACATATCGTTGGAAAGATCTGATTCTCAAGATTCTATATTTTTTGTGATAGAAGTAATATTGAGAGAGAACTGCATCAAATTCAGTGGCATTTGTATGGCACCTGGTGGCTATATATGGTATTACACCTAAACAAAATTGTATAGGAACCTCATTTTTTTATATCAACTTCAAATTTGGAACACAACTTATTTAGACACATGGCTATAATTGTATATCAATTTTGGATTAAAACCTATTTTGTAAAATATTTACAACTGAGCTCACAGCACTGAAAACAGCAGAGTATAAAGAGGAGAGAAGACGACCAGTAGGGCTGAGGATAAAACGTGACTTCTGGTCTGCCTTTTGAGAGCTGGTGGATGATTGAGTTATTAATGCAGATAGATTGTGTTTATAGAGAGAGAACTGCACACACTGATCTCACACCTGAGAAATATTGTGTATCTTAGTCATTCAAAAGACTCTCTTATCCAGAGCAACAAACTGCTTTAGTTTTGATATGTGAGGCTTCAGATAGCAAGCACATATTGTCTGAATGCTAACCATTAGAGAGTGAAGTACTAAACAACAAAAACCTGCAAAAGCAGCAACAAATGCACTGATCATGATACCATAAAATATAATAATAATAAGTCATAGTAGAATGTAATATTCAATTACATTCTATTTTTGCTATTTTTGGAGAAACAAAAATAAAATACCTTTATATAATCACATCAGCCAGTAATTTTCCAATTTCCAATTTTTCTTATTTTTTTTCTAATGTCTTTCTTATTTTTCTTATTTTTTCAGTTATGTATCTGTTCATGAATTTCAGTGGTCACTTGCTAAGATAGAACAATAATAATAATAATAAAACATAACTGCTATGCAAAGTATACATTTAGATACTTCTTGTTCACACATATAGTGTGAGTGAACTGCAGCTAAATGGTCAGTTGGTGAGATCAGAGGATGTTAACACCCACAAGATGAGCTAATGATGTTAGAAGGCTAGAGCTGTAAATATAGAGTGAAAAAAAAGATTGACAGAAACAGAAAATGGCTGATAAGCGTCACATGTGTCTGCTGGGACTGATCATGCTCTGTGCACTTCTCACAGGTAAAGACATCTGTATATGATCTCAGCAGTGGAGCAGAAGTGACTCATGTGTTCTGCAGTTCTGGTAAAGATGTCCGTCTGTCCTGTAATAATGCTCTTTCTGGCTGCACATCAACTTCATGGAGCTATAGCAGACATTCAAGAGCAGTTGAACTGATTGCTGGAGGGATAAAGAAGAATGACATCGAGAGACATGAGAGACTGCGTCTGGGCTCTGACTGCTCTCTGAACATCAAGAACGTCACAAAAGAAGATTATGGATTGTACTTCTGCCGACAATATGTGTATGGAAAACAACAAGGAACTGATGCACATGTTTATCTGCATGTTCTTCATGGTCAGTGTTTCTATGGATATTATGATTATATGTTGAATTAAACATAATTAAAAGTAATGTTTGTGTCCCTGAAAAGACTGAAATGTTGTGTAATCTGTGTCTGATTTTCTGTTTCAGTCTCTTCATCATCCTCACAGTCTGAGATCAGATCAGGCAGCTCTGTGACTCTCTCATGTCAGTTATATTATTATCAAGTCACTTGTGATTCTTTAGTTCGTTCTGAGGGACTTCAGCTGATCTGGGTGAATCAGGCTGGTGTGGATCTGCAGACAGACTCCAGATTTCAGATATCCTTCTCCTCAGGACAGTGTATCAGCTCTCTGACTACAACACTCCTGAATGAAGACCACAGCAGAGCGTGGAGATGTCAGCTTAAACACAGAAATCAGCTGAAGACCTCAGCCACATATACTGTCAAGTATCCAAGTAAATGATTTATATGAACAATTAATCATCAGTAATTTAAATATGATCGTAGTCTATGACGTATCTGAACCTTCATCTTTTACAGCTCCAGCCGAAACAAAGACACCGTCTCCAGTCACCAGCTCTAAATCCTCTGCAGCTCCAGCACAACCAGGTACATAATCAGCTGTTAAGATGAATGTTTGCTGTTACCTGAAGACCTCAGTCAGATACACTGACATGTTTTCAGATAAGAAACTACATTTATTTAACCCCTTAACTGTCACACGTTTACTTCAGTATATTAGGATTAAATCCTAATCTAATCATGACAAACTATATATTGCTGGAAAGATCTAAGACTCCTAAATATATATATTACCACTGTTTGTTGTTAAAAATGATGTAGAAACAGTAACAGATTACATTATGACAAGAGTGCACCTCAAAACATACACATCATAACAGGAGTTCTGTCACAAAAATTACTTTTCGTTTCCTTTTACATGTTTTAGTAATCATCATAAATTATATATCATTTGAAAGCTTAAAACCTCAAAATTCATCCTGCGAAAACTATTTTCAAATCGGAAATTGCATTACTATGGAAATGGTACTTTAAAATATTTTAGCAGGCTCCTCCCCTTAGTGGGGGTGTCATATTACAAAATGTATTACGGTCTTTTCGAATCCAAACTTTTTATAATCTTGACAAAATACATATCGTTGGAAAGATCTGATTCTCAAGATTCTATATTTTTTGTGATAGAAGTAATATTGAGAGAGAAATGTACGGTGGCCGAGAGAGCTCAACGCGCTGCAATTTAAGAAAAC